ATGAACTCAGAAATAAAATCAAGGAGCCAAAGGAGTACTTTACCAAAAAGATTGAAAGTATAAAAGAGAACCAAACAAAAATTCTGGAGCTGAAGGACTCAATAAATGAGATGAAGAATGCATTAGAAAACAATGAAACAGAGCACACTAGATAGAAGAGAGAATTAGTGAGCTCGAAGGTAGAAATCTGGAAATGACTTGGGAAAAAAGAGAGACAGAACTGAGCATTTTTTAAAAAGTGAAATAATTCTAAGAGAAGTATCTGAGTCCATTAGAAAGAACAACCTACGAATGACAGGGGGCCGGCTGAGTGACTCAGTTGGTTAGAGCGCATGCTCTTAACAACAAGGTTGCCGGTTCCACTCCCACATGGGATGGTGGTCTGTGCCCCTCCCCCTTTGCAACTAGATTGAAAGTGGTGACTGGACTTGGAGCTGAGCTTGCGCCCTCCACAACTAAGATTGAAGGACAACAATCTGACTTGGAGCTGATGGGTCCTTGAAAAACACAATGTTCTCTTCCCTAATTCCCCAACACTGTTCCCTATCCCAGTTCCCCAATAAGATTAAAATAAAATAAAATAAATGATGATAGGTATACTAGAAGGATAAAAGAGGGAGAAGGGAACAGAGAACCTATTCAAACAAATAATCAATGAGAATGTCCTAGACGTATGGAAAGAGATGGATCTTCAGAAATTAAGAAACAGAACATGTAATTATCTCACTCCAAGAAGGCCTTCTCCAAAGCACATTATATTTAAACTGTCAAAAATTAATAGCAAAGATAGATTCTCAAGGCAGCCGCGGAAAAGAAGATGGTAACCTATAAAGGAAACCCCATTAGATTATCATTGGACTGTTCAGCAGAAACCCTACAAGCTAGGAGAGAGTAGAATCAAATATTCAAAATCTTGAAAGACAGAAATCACCAGCCAAGGATAATATATCCAGGAAAGTTATCCTTTACATATGAACAAGAAATAAAGGCTTTCCCAGACAACCAAAAGCTGAGGGAGTTTACCACCACAAGACCTTTATTACAAGAAACCTTGAAAGGAGCTCCTTTCTCTGAAACAAAGACACAGAAGTGTAGAAAACATTGAGTAACACACAAACAGAAGCAGGAACTTGCAACTCAATTTCATAGTAGGGTGTTAAACAATTAATTATAA